ATTCCTGCAAGCCTCAGGGGAAGTCCCCGGAGACCCCAGGTCAGCTGCTTGGCTGAGTTCTTTAGCTTAGGGTCTCTTTGGCCAGAACTGTGCTTCTGCGATGGTCCTGGGCCACCTTGGGGCTCCTGTGCCAGCCAGTGCCTGCATGTGGGGAGGTCAGACCTTAATCCCACTCCCCAGGGGACAATAGGAAAATAGCTGAGAAACCGAAATCCTGTCAGATGGGACAGCCACGTGGAAACGAGAAAACACCTTGCTGTCCTGACTCCAAGAAGGCCACTTGGAGTCCAGAAGCGATCCTTTCTGCCTGTGGGACATGCAGAGCTCTAGGACTCTGTTCAGGCGTCTGTCTGGAATTGCCCCGGGCTGCACCCATGGCCTACTGCAAGGCTGGCACTGGCTGGCCCGTCTCGAGTCCCCCAGAGCCGAGTGGCAAGGACACGTGGGCACCTGCTGCTGTTTTTGGGTGTCCTTGGGTAAACCAGCTAGACAGCATTAAGCTGTTTCAAAGCCAAGTGCATATGATTTCCATAGCTATCTGTTTTTAATTTAAGCCTATTTAAAACTTGAGGGCCCCTCTATAGCTAATTTGTTACAGCAATATTAATTAACGGTTTCACATGACAGTGGTTAGGATGCCACTCCTATTGAGTAAGATAGATTTGCAGGAGCAGGAGATCAGAAAAACAATCTGTGAAGTGGCCAGAGGCGGCTGGGGGTCACCTTGGGGTTTGGGAGAAGGACGGCACGTTTGCGCAAACGTGCTATTAGCGTCCCGCAGTGCAGCTGTTGAGGAGCCAGTACGGCCCCCCCTGGCCTCATTCCGCGGCTAATTCTGGGGGCAGATTCCGTGAGATGGGATCGCGGACTGCAGCTCGGATCCAAATTTGCTGTAAAATGCTCAAACTTAAAAAGTAATTGTTCCTTTCCATCGGGTTATAAATTCCCATGGTTTCTCCCCTCCCCCACAGTGATCGCTGCATACACGGGAGCATCCCCCCAGAGGGCGTGGCAGGGACCACACACCTGCGTGAACAGTTTTAAGTTACTCCCTCTCTTCCTCTGTGGGCAAGACACACGGCTGACACCACCACAGTCTGACATGGAAATTAAAAACAAAACAAAACAAAATAAAATGAGGGGGATCCTCGAGTGTGAAGGAGAAGCTGACCCAAAGTCAGGAACCGCGTTTGTTTCCACCCGAGGGTGCTTCCTGGTGTCCCTGTAACTTTCTCTCGCGCTCCCTTTATGGCCATCCCTGTTTACTCGCTCTCTTCTCCACGGTGGGAGAGACGCCTTTCGGATGGAATCTGGCGCTTTCCTGAGTCACCTGTTTTCATGCTGGGGCTAGGAAGCAAAGACCGGAGAGAGATGGAGATTTTGTGATTTTATCTTGTTTTATGGTAATGTTTCCAGGGAATGAGTATTCACAGATCCTCCTTGACCTGACGATGGGTTGTGTCCCGATTGAGGGACACCGGAGCCGAATGGCAGTGTGGGTGTGGATGAGTGTGGTTGTCCACGCGTCGACTGTTACTGTCATGATCGAGGGGCTGGCTGCGAGCCACTCACGAGAGAGGATCGTCCTACATGCCGCTGCCCGGGACAGGATCCAAATTCAAAATTCAAAGACTGGTTTCTACTGAAGGAATACCGCTTTTGCACCATTGTCTAAACATCATTAAGTCAAACCGTCTTAAGTTGGGGACCATCTGTATGTGTCAACACAGTGTCATTATCACTTCCTGTCTCATTAACGCAGAGGAGTCCTGTAGGCCAGGAAAATGGGAAGAGTCGGGCCGGCTGGCCTAGCTACCTCCTGGTCTGCATCGGGTACCCTTATCAACTGGTATTTGCAGAGTGCACAACCTGTGCACCAGTGCGGGTGTTATAGACTGCTCCCCCAGCTCAGTTAGGTCTGTACTGTGTTCTAGAGAATTTAATGAAGTCTTGATCTCAGCCCTGTGGATAAGAGACCAAAGCCAGATCTCGCGGAAGTGAAAGAAGAAAACTAGCCCAGTTCTGAGAGATGCCCCCCACAGAGGAATGGGTGAAAATCAGATCCTGGAGAAATCAACACCTACGATTTTAATCTTCACTGAGAATATCGCTCTTCAGAACTTCCTCCTTCGAAACGGAGGTGGAACCAAGTGCCACTTTTCCTTTCCCTTCCTGGTGGACAGTGACATGACGTCCCACACCTCTGGCAAGATCGGTATTTGCTCTAGACAGGCTCCCTTCAGGTCTTCAGCAGAGGGATGTGAGGAAGCTATGCTCACCCAGACTTGTCTTGAGGTCAGAGCAAACCTCCAGCCGGCCCAGCCCGTCCTGTGTGGTCCTGCTTTCTGGGCTCAGGCTGGAGCAGAGCCACGAAAAGGTTGGAACGGTGCAGGTGAGCCGACCTACCTTCATGGGAATCAGAAGTTCAGGGGCCAGCTTGATGGGTTTTTACAGTGGGACCCACCGTGGCATTTGAGCATGCTACCCACATGGCTCCACGTGCTATCTCGTTTGAATTTTCCCTCATTGTGGGTCACTGTGAGGGAGCGCCCGTCAGAGTGTTCGTGGCAGACGGAGACTTTGTGAAAGCCTTCAACAGAGACTCGGTTTGTCATCTGTTCACCCAAGACCACCCTGTGTGGCACAGAACCTCGAAACTGGGCCGGGAACGTTGAATGCTGATGTTGACACCCAGTTCTAAAATTGTCACTCTAGCAGTGAGCGGGGCCACCGTCCTCCCCGTGGGCTTGGGCAGGGTCCTTACGGCTCAGTGTCAGGGCACGTGCCTTTTCCGGAAGTCTGGCTGGGCCTGGGGCTGCCGGCTTGCTCTCCTGCACAGATGCTAACAGCATAGCTAGGGAAAAAAGGGTCGTGCCTTTGGGGACCTGGAGCCCCAGGACCGGGGGAAGCCGGCTGTATGGACAGCATCGGGCAGTGCAGGAGAGCAGAGCAGGACTTACAGGGATTCTTGGGATCTTTTCCTGAATTAAAGATCAGTCCAAGAATCCAGGCCACATCCAAGACAGGATTCGGATTCAATAAAGCCACTGATGGTGACTGGTCCTGAGTCCCCCGGCCGGCTCAGCCCCACCCAGCCCCGGGGTGCAGGGGCGAGGCGACAGGTAATGAGCCTGCGAGATGGCGGTGCCTGGGGTGTGATGGATGGCCCGCAACCCTCACGCTGCTCCGCGCCCTCCATCATCCAGTCGGGGTGGTTAGCGGACTGTCAGAGAAAAATAATTTAGCGGCCGTGGCTTTAACTGATGTGCTGCATTCTGGGGTCAAATGACTGTTACAAAGCAGTGGTGCTGCCTGGTTCTTCCGTCTGAGCGCTCGGGGTTGACAACATGAAGAAGAAGGCGTCGCGGCCAGAACTCACTGACACCCTTCAACCTTCAGCGGGGCCGGTGCAGCGGCCACAGAGGGAGGAGGACGGGGAGAACGGCCAGGCCGGCGGAGGCCCGCGGGGGCCTGGCATGGGGGGCGTCCTCAGAGAAGGTGGCTGGGAGACACAGGCCATGGCCAACGTCACAGCAGCCTGGGGCTCACGCAGGCCGCAGAGGGCACAGAGGCTTCCTTGGGTGTTGTTGGCGAGTTTAAGTGACGAGTGGAGACACAGGACAGGAGGGAACAAAGGACACAAACCAGCAGGGGTGCAGAAGACAGGGAGCAAGACGCAGCCCCTCCCTCCCTCGGAGACGTGCGGGGACTCACAGGGATGCCCAGCTGCTTTGCAAACACCGTGTTTACTTGGACGGTGTGTTACTTGAGGGTAGGTCGCAAGACAAGGCAAGGTTACAGTCTAAACGGCCCCAACTGGCCTCCTACAACGTGCAGCAAGTATCTGAAAACCAAAGGACGGGATCAAGGGCAGAGGGAGCAGAGAAACAGGAATATCTCGCTCAGCAGTCTCCCTCCATCTCTCTACCCTGCTGTGGGGGGCAGGCCACGGCCGGAGCAGGCCCCTGCCCTCCTGTGCCCTGCAGCCGCTAAGGGTCAAAGACGGATGAGTGAGTGAGTGAGTGAGTGCCTGCCCCGGCGTGATTCTGCTCTAGGGTCTTGCCCTCAGCCACTTGCTCTGATGGCTGTGCAGCCCCTTGTTCTCCCCGGGGAGCATGCGCCTGGTCCCCCGGGTGCAGCGGACTCTGTTCCGGATGCTGTGATGGGGGGCATGGTAGTCCCAGCGGTAACTCAGGTACACGGGGCCCACTCTGCGCTCACACTGGCCTCTGTGCTTTCTAACTGCGTGAAGCACGTCTGTCCTCGATTGATGCTGAAGCCAATATAGACACCGTCCTGTATCCAACACACACAGGACGCCCACAAGTCCCCAGAGTGGTGACAGGAAGGGTGATTTGCATAAATAAGCACTTTCAAGACTTGGAGGGAAGAGGTTGTTACAAAATCACAGATAGACGGTTCCCGACACACGGACGGCGCCACAAAATATTCCCTGAATGAGCGACCCAGTGTTGCAGAAACGGCAAGGTTGTGGCCGTGACGCAGGCACGAGCTCCCTCTCCCTCCCTGAGCTCTCCGCTTCCCGCCAGCCCCTGGCCTCAGCCCCTGCACCTCTGTCTGGCCTGGCCGGGGGACCCGACTGGCATCACCTGGGCGAGATGAGCCACGTTCGGGGGGCTTTCTGCAGGCCCCCAGCTGGAGGCCCCCCCCCCCGCCCCCGGACCCCGCCTGGCGCACACATCACGCTGCTGCGCTCACTGCAGTGACCTGCCGCTAACCCTCTCCCCGGGGAGGGCCTGCTGCGGCCCCTCATGGGTGGCATGGCCATCTCCAGGGTGATCTGCTACCTGCTCTGGGAGTGTGGACACTCTCTTCACACTCACACGACCCGCTCTCTCTCTCCAAAGGCCTGCAAATCGCTCCTAACAGTGATGCGGGGGGCGGGGGGCCCGCCAGTGATGGGAGCAGAGGGGTCTGCCCACCACCCGGCCTCCTGGCTTCAGAAGACGGCCGCCTGTGGCAGCACTTGAGAGGCTCACCTGGGGCAGGAGCTGACCTCTACTCCTGCTGGGGACGTGGCCCGGCAGCCGGATGTCGAAGAGGGCCTGGAGGGCGGCCCGTGCCGCCTGGCCCTTGGCCAGCTTCTTGCTGCGTCCTGAGCCCTCGAACGTCCTGCCGTCCACGCACACGGCCATGACGAAGCTCTTGGCCCGCTGCTTCTCAGCCGGCTCCGCGAGGCACACGTAGCGCAGGCCGGAGCGCAGCTTGTTCAGCACGACCACGGGGTTCCTGTCGCCCGGGGCCGCAGGGCCCACCAGATCCAGCGGGTGGCAGAGGAGCCGGCCCCGCGGGCAGGCCGTGGCCAGCAGCCCGGGGTCGGCGGGCCGGCGGCCGGGAAAGGCCTCGCTGGGGGCGGCGGGCGCGAACTCCTTGAACAGCGTGTCGGGGAAGTCGGCCTGGTCGGAGGTGAAGTCCGTGGATGGCCCGGCGCCACCGCCCATGGCCAGCTGGGCCTGGCAGGCGTTGGGGAACTGCACGAAGGACCTCAGCGCCAGCTCGGCCGCCCGCATCTTGGCTTTCTTCTTGGTGGGCCCCGTGCCCTCGAAGGTGAGCCCGTTGACCTCCACGGCCACGGCGAAGACGGGCGCGTGCACGGGGCCGGTCTGGGACACCATGCGGTACTGCAGGCCCGGGCGTAGGTCGTGCAACTGCACCAGCGCATTCTTGGGCGCCACGGACCACGAGAGCTTCCTCCAGACGAGCTGCAGGGGGCACAGGTGGCCGCCGTTGCCCTCCTCCAGAGGCCTCTTCCGCTTCACGCCGGGCGTGCCGCCTCTGGCCCTGTCGCTGGCGGCCAGGGGCCTCGCCTCCCAGTTGCTCACGCGGTTTTCCTTCACATCCGCGCTGCTGGTACCTGCGGGCGAGAAAGACAGCCGTGACCCAGGGCCCTGGCGGCTGGCCACCGACGTCAGACGGTACCGCTGCAGCCGCCAGCAGGACGGCCGGCTGGGGACTCGCGCTCGGCCCGGGGCCCCGGGAGGGGGTTGTGTGGACATGGGGGCCCGCGTCCCGGGCGGTTCTTGCGGAGAGGCATTTCTGAGAAGGAGGTGCCGGTGGGGCCCGCGAGGCCTCCAGGCTGCGGCCGGCTGCCCGCCCTGGGCACGGACGCCGTGCCTATCTCCCCAGGCCGCCCCAAACCAACCAAACAGGCGTCCCCTTCCTCCTACGGGCTTTGGGCAATGCTGAGGGTCAGGGCGGCCTTTCCTGCCCAGGGCGGTGGTGGGCAAATTGTGGTGCCGTCATTCAAGGGAAGGCCACGTGGCACTTGCACTTAATCAACTACGTGTGTATGCGTCCACGTAGGTGACTGAGAAATGGGTTAGATGACGCAAACTAACGCGTAGAGCGAGGACAGCACCAGATTTTGCAGACACAGACCTTATACACTGTTTGTGGAATCACACATAGGGGGTAAAGGTTAGAGACTTCCCACCTTCCCCGAGACACAAGGACGGAAAATGGATGTGGGCTTACAGGGTGGCTTCCTTTGTGTCTATGGTGTTTCCTTTTCCCCTTTCTTTCTTTCCTTGCAGGAAATGGTGGGAAGTAAATTTGGCGAAACCATCCCTTGTTAACTGTGGGTGGTGGATGGGATGCGTGTAATGGTGACTTAACTTCCGTGGCCTGGCCTTCTTGGACCCCTCTCAGCCCAGACAGCTGTTCCGTGTGGGGCATGTGTCACTTCGGGACCACAGGACGAGGTCCCCACTGCTCCAGAGACAAGGGCGCTTCTGGGGCGCGGACCCCTCAGGTCTCGTCCCAAATCCTCAGGGGATGGTGGTGGCGAGCGGTGCAGTTACTTTTCACGGAGGCCCCTCACACCTTCACTTTGCTGCCTTTCTTATTCCTAAAACCCACCCTGGGTGGGGTCGTGGCACCAGTTTCTAGAAGAAACGAGGCTCACAGAGGGAAATGCTTGCCCTGGGCTAGTTGGTGGAGATGTGAACGCGTCCTGGGAATGTCTGTCTAATGCATGGGTGGTTTCACGGAAACAGAATCGTCCCACCATTTTCTTAGCCCTCTCGCAGGGCACCTGCGCTGGGCTCTCCAGGAGGTGGTGAGGGAGTTATCGTCGGCCATCGGTTTGGACAGACGCGGGGGCCACGCACGGCCCTTGAAGGCTTCCCCGGAGTCAGGAGTGGGTTTTTTCTCATTAAGCACGCGGAGATGAGGGGGGATTTTTACAGCTGGCTCACAGCCTACGGACAGACGCCCAGCGGGTTCCCCTCAGTCCTGCCCCGGAAGGCGAGCAGTGGTAAGAGCCGTAGACTCCGTGACCTTGCCCTCGAGGTGTCGCTGGCAGAGAAAAGGCAAAGCAGTGCAGCCTGCCAGCCTGGGTGGGGGGGAGGGGGGTGCCCTTGGGTTCCTGTGCGGCCCCGCCCAGTGCTCCCTAGCCAGCCTGCACCATTAGCCTTTCCTGGAGCCGTTCGCTTCTACGAGGTGCTAGGTCTGCACAGGTAACTTTGCTCAAAGGCTGGACACGGTGGGTTTTGTAAGTTAGAGGTGGGTGGCATCTATTTACGGTCTATTTTGGTAGAAATAACTACCTTCCAAATATCAAGCACTTAATCTCTACCCCTTTTTTAATCATTATGGGTCTTGGCTACAGACAGACGGCAAATAGCTCTGCCATTTTTAGGGCATTTCGGGCCAAGAGACAGTAGATCAGATTAACCATGCAGCTTCTCAAATTGAACGTAAAGATGGGGAAAAAAAACCCAACTCAACCAAAAAGGCCTACTCCAGATTGAGTAGATGTTGCCGGAGTTCTCTAATTTATTGATTTCCCACAAGGTGGGGGTCCGTGAGCCCGTTTGTGCCAGTGGAGCAGGCAGTATATCAGATGACCTCTGTTGCCTTTTGAGGTAGAAAGGTTTATCTTGGAGGAACAGCCCTCACAGACCGACATTTCCCTATGGCTGCCGTGGCATAAGCCGTGGTTGTCAGATTGTGGCAGGAAGACCCCTTCCATAATAACCAATAACTGACAAAAATTGATGAAAAATGTGGGCTTCTGGGTCCCGTCCGGGAAACACTAGCTACAATGTCTGAGTTTTGCAAATGAGCCGGGTGGGGATTCCACTTGGTTCCACACAGCCCGGCTGCCCTTGGAGCTGGAGGCTGCAGGGGGTGGGGGGCAGCAGCCTCTCCACCTGCTCTGGGCTCAGGCACAGGAGATGTCCAAGTCCCCTCGGCCCTTCCGGTGCATGTCCCTCCGCCCGCCCGCACTCCATTTTCTTACAGTGGCTTCAATAGCCTTGCCTTGTGGGATTATTCTGAGGTTGAACCAGAGGAGCGTGTGAAGGAGGCTCAGCCCAAACCCTCACATACAGCAAAGTCTCACGCAGGTTTTTGAAAATAGCAGGAAAGACTGAGACAGAGACTCCTGAGCTCTTGAGAATGACTTTTCCCTGGAATTCTAGGACCACCGGGGATCAGGGGAACAGCCTTTCTGTCACAGTGCGCCGGGAGCCGGGGGCTCCTGAGGCCAGGCCTGAAGACGTCCACTCCGTTGCTGAGGCCGTGGTCCCCACAATGCGACACAAATGCCTCCTGTGTGTCTCCCGTGTGGTTGGCAAGGCAAACTCTGATCACACGGACTTACCAGACCCGTCTGAGCGTCAGCAGCCTTCTGGGTCCCGAGACAGACAGAGGCGAAAGTAGACTTTGTCATTTGGGACAGTCAGTCCGGTGGGGGAGACGGAAGGACACCTGGACCACATGCACCGTAGCTCCTGGCTGCCAGAGGAGGGATGGACGGGGACCTCGCAGGGAGACCTGTCCTGCAGCCATAGCGCTGCTTAGAGATCCACGAGCCTGTCCTGTAAAACCTCTCGCCACTTGCCGGGTCCCTGCAGGGCTTTGCTGCAACAAGGCCGCCTGAGTTTCTTACGGGACTCCAGCTCTGACCTTCATGTCTCCTCCACACGGACGGTACTAAACGCATTGCAATCCCCCCACCCCCCGACCTAGGAGAGGATTCTCATTCTGTTCTCCATCATGGTTAACGTGTTTCCCATACTCTGTTGTCAGAATGACCCAGAGACAAGAAGTCAGGAGGCTGAGAAGGCTCTCACTCCTGATACAGGCTATTGGGTGCCTGTCCCTGCACACGTGCCCTTGGGTCTGGGCGCCACGGAGCCCACGCACCCAGGGCTCTGTCCCAGCACAGTCTTCTGCTCCTTGACCCTGGGGTCACCCCTGAGGTGCCTGGAGATCACGGATTCTCCTCGTCCAGGAGAGCAGGGCCTGGTCTTTGCTCCTGGCCTGGCTGTCCTGAGAATCGCCCTGCAGGCATGTTGCTGACACACACTGGGGCACCTCAATGTGGGCAGCGGGCTCCTGTCATCCCTAAGCTGCCCAGGAGCTCGTGTCCTGTGCTGACCCTCCAGGCGTGCATTTTTTGCTGGTTCAGAGTTGGCCTTCTCTCAGGGAGCTGACCCCAGGCCTCATGGACGGCGTGAGCACTGTCTCTGGAGATGGAAGGAAGGTGCAGCTGGGGCTCTGCACGGGGCTGGTGGCAGAGTCGTGCACAGACAGAACCCGCCAGTGGGGCCTTTGTGAGGGTCCAGGGGGATAACGCACCAAGACTTTCCACATGATCTGTAAACGCTGCGGCTCTCTGACCGGCGACCGATCATGGCTGCCTCGGAGGTAGCAGTTGCCAGGACTCTCCCAGGGTTCCAGGGGGCGAGACGTGGCTCTGGAATATTTATTGTACGATAAAAACGGGTTGTTTCTGAAAGTGTATTTGTTGTACGCTCGGAACCCCTCAAACAGACGGGTCATACTATGATATAAGAATTGGCGAGTCCTTAATTCTACCCTGGAATTCATTCTCCCGAACGATTGCTTTTCTTGCGGGTCATAACTCAGAGACTTGTGGGACGTTCGAGCTTGGAGCAGCTCTGCAGGGAAACTCACCTCCCGTGCGGGGGGCCGGACGGGGGCTGTCACTTGTTACAAGTCAGGTGCACGTTAAGGTGCATTTAAGGATTTGCCCGTCCCTACACTCCTTATGCACGTGTGTGTGTGTGTGTGTGTGTGTGTGTGTGCGCCCTCGGGACGCCAGCTTGCGGGCGAATGCTCGGAAATAGAATGGGGAGCAGAATGGGGCGGTGGGCCTGGGGGCCCAGGGCAGCTCCCACCACCCCACTGTGTCCCCATCCAGGGCTCACGTCATGTTTCTCCCCCTTGGAAAATGCCTTCCATTGGCGAAGTCCGCTCCCGAGGGAACCGCGTGCAGGCGCCCTGAGAGCCCACGCTGGCTGGCGCGTTGCTGCGGTAGGACACCGGTGACCTCCCTCATCCTCACGCCATCCGGCACCAGACATCCGTGAACTGCAGTGTCTGTGACTCCCACAGTTTCGTGTGCCCTTCCATTGTGGGAAGTGGAAGAAACACAGGCAAATACAGATACCACAAAGGTCAGTGATGGACGCTCAGCGGCGATTTGAAGACGGCCGGGCACAAAGCCACCCTCCGAGGCCGAGTGGCCGTGTGAGCGAGAACTTCAACCACGGCCACGTCCGTTCCGCTCCCTCACGCGTCGGTCCGTCTCCTGAGCCCACAAGTACTTCTGTCTGACAAAAATTGTCAGCAAATGCAGTGCTATCTGTGAAGGTCCAGCGCATAAAAGAAACGCATTTTGGGGAGAAAGACCAGAGTTTTATCCTGGCCTGGCTGTGGCTAAACTTGAATTTTCCAGGTGAAGTATTTCCTCCCAGAGTTAAGTCCGGTTATCGCGCTGTCCTTATGCACTGGCTGTCGGCCCTCAGATGTGAACAGGCCACGTGGAGGGCGAGGTCCTTGGCTGTGGGCTCATGGCCCTCACGGCTCCGGCGCGAGTGCAGGCGGCACGTGGGGCTGTGTATTATGCCCACGCTCCGCCCCTCCCTGCCCCTCCCCTCACCCCCTCGCCCCCTTTCCCCTTTCTGGGGCCAGCATCTGCCCAGTTATGATGGGGCCGGACTTCTCCAAGCAGTCCCGGTGCCAGGAGCTGTTCAGCACCGCGTGTCTGCTGTGTCCGCAGCTGGCGGGGCGCCAAGGAACCGGCCGTCCGAGCTCCACATTCGTGTCCGACAAGGGTGCGGCCAGGAGCCAGGCCAGTGGCCCGGAGCTCCGTTCACAGGAGGAGGGAGGTCCTGGGGCCTCGAGGGTGTGGGCTGTGGCCCACTCTCTGAGCACAGAGAGCCCTGTGGGCTGGCTGGCTGGGGTTGCAGAAGGGCAGGCCCGACCGGGTGGCTCCTAGATCGGGCTGGGAAGCAGGCCAAGGCGGCCTCCTTTGCAGGACCTGACCTGTCACACGCGGTCCTGGACGCTGTGCCTGCCGCACATCTGGGGGAGGATCAAGCAGGCACGGCGGGCGGGTCTTCCTCCCTCCAGACCCAGTACAGGAAGCACCCCAGGAGTGGGCATCACCGTCCCGCCTCATGTGACCTGGGTCAGTGGTGGGCATCAAGGTCGGGGGGCCAGTGTTCAGAGAAGAAAGCTTTCTGAGCTGCCCGCTTAAGCAGGAAGTCTCAGCAAAGTGGCGTCGTCCCGTAGACCCTTGGTGGAAACCCACCCCCGCTGACAGCGTCCAGAGGGGCTCACGGGCACCACTTCTCTCCGGCTGAGTCTCTCTGGCCACCAACCCCGGACCCCAGCTGTGCCCTTGGCGTTGGGACGAGGGAGGTGAGTGCCGGTGGCCGCGCGGGGAGCCTGCCTGACGGTCCCGCCCCTGACTCCGCGCGTGGAGCGGGCAGAGCACTTTCATGTACCTCCAGCCCACGCACACCAGAGCCACGTGACCTAAGAATAGAAGGAGACCGCAAAGCCAGTTCACGCTTGCTCCTACCCCTCCACCCTCTCTCCCTGCACAGGCGTGTGCATGCACATGCCACACGCATCAGACACACACCCCTGCCCTCTCAGGGGAGTCACCACCAGTTCCTCTCCCGCCTTCCAGTGGCGCTGGGGTTACAAATTGTGCAGACTGTGTCGGAGAACTAGAGTTGCGAAGACAAGGGCACGGCTTGGGGTCTGTCTTTGAACGGTGTCCGAGCACAGGGTTTCCTAAGTACATCAGCAGCTTATATGGCAAAGACGGATGGCCACTCCACTGACAGAAAACAATTTTCTGAGCATTGCTAAGGCATTTTAGCAGGTAACAAACAGCGAAAAACCACCTGTTAGCCAGGGAGCTGAATTAGGGGAAATCCCCTTAATTGCTGTTAGCCAACTTGGGCACTTCCTCTCTTCCAGGTCCTTGCTGAACGTCTCGATGCATCGTCCTGATTCCGATCTCAACTCCGTGACTCAGGTAACGTTCCCTTCCCCACTTTGCAAACGAGGTGCTGGGGCTCTGAGCCGTGGGTCTCATGGCCAGGCTCGTGGGGGCACTTACAGAGCACGTGGCCGTGTCCACACTGGGCTCCCGAGTAGACACACAGCGTTCCAGCCCCTCGAGGTGGGAAAGAAGAGGAAGCAGAGGGAGATTCTCTTTCTCAACTCATATATTGCACGTGTGTTATCAGATAGCTTTGGCCATAAGTCCAGTTCAGCGTGGGGCTCGTGTGCATGCCTGCTTAGAATATGCATTCATGGACACGTACACATGCATGTGCACTTGTGTGTGTGTGTATGTGTGTGCGCGCGCGCGCCCCACATTTCTGAAGCAGCTCAGTAAATTGACCGAGTCCTAGAAATTTTCCCATTTAGACCCTGAGAGAAGAAAAACAAGGACTTGCCAGACTTTCCCTTGGGCGCATGTGCTTTGCTGAGGCTCTGACCCTGAACTGAGGGTCCAGAGATGCATGTTCTGATTTCCACGCAGGGCAGCGACCTCAGCCTCCAGTCCCCTTGATGGTTGGGTTTCCTGGGAGGGGCCCCTGCTTCTTCCCAGCTGGCGGCAGAGGGGACAGCACTCCCGTGTGGGTCCCTGACGGTGCCTTCTGCCCTGGGAGCTCCCGCACACGCCCCTCGCCCCCTCACCGCAAGCAGTAAGCATGCCCTTCACTCTTGGCTGGAAGGGTGACCCATCTGTCAGATAATATTGAAATGCGAGAAGGATCTGCATGGACTGGGATGCTTCACCCCTCGCGTGAATGGTTGACAGTGCGCCACAGACTGGAGACCGTGTGTGCCAGGTATGCCTGGGCGCCTGCACACGCACACCAGCCCTGCCTCCCTTGGGGGCCCTCAGTGGTCTCGGCAGGGGGACTGTTCAGATCCCCTCCCCCAACCAGCTTTTTGGTCCCCACACCACACTGCTTTGGTGTCTGGTTTCATCCATGAGCCAGAACTATTGTCCCAACGGGCAGGCAACCATCCAGCTCTTTCCTTGTTGAATGATTATACAAACTGTGTTCACCTCCCTCTCTCCCTCCTCTCTCCCCCTCTTTCTCCCTTCCTTCCTCCCCCTCTCTCTTGCTACCTCCCTCCTTCCCTTCCTCCCTCCCTTTCTTCTTTTTGGAGGGAAAAACAAAGGAAAGAGAGGCGGGGTGGTCCAAGAGAACTGTTTTTTCCCTGCAATTGCTGGAGTTCTCAATTATATAGTCACTGCTCATATTTTCCCACCACCCAGGTGGGGACAGGATTGCAGGTGGGGATGGGATTCATGATGGGGAAGGGACTCCAGGTGGGGACAGGAGTGGAGCCTCCTGCTCTGGGAAACCCACACAGTCCCCCCCCCCGTCACCCCAAGGGTCTCTCATTCGGGGACAGTAGAGGACACCCCCTCAGCGCATGGGGCTGGGACCCCCTCCACTCTTCAGGGAAGGGAAACTGCTTACTTAGATTGTCTTCATCCTCCGTGTTGGTGGCCCCGGGGCTTAAGTGCTTGAAGGGAGCGATGAAGGCTGACAACATGGTTACTTTGTCTGGAAAGAAAAGAAGAACAGGAAATGCACTTTTGACATTGAGTTTCAGAAAAACTCAGTGCTCTCCCAAGTTCTTATTACTGAGGGTTTGGACGGGGCGTTGAAGGCTCGTTTTGGCTTCAGCCACTTCATTCTGGTTCAGTCTTTTATTGAATTTCTGACAGCATTTTCATCAAACCCCTCTCTCCATTCAATTTTAGACTTTATGATTTCCATCTTTCTTCTTTTCTCATTTTTGGCATCTCCCCTCCTCTTGTTCCCTGTCCCTCAAAACTCCACAAATGATCGTCTCCAGGGCGACAACCTTGTGTGGGCTCCCAGGGTGCTGGGTGGGGCAGAGCTTGGGCCGAGGGCATTTCACAGGGAGGCAGTGAAGCAAGTACCAAAAAAAAAAAAAAAAAAAAAAGCCACAATTAAATGAGAATCGTGCAATTCAAGCCAAGACCTTTCCTCCCCGTCAATGGAGAACTTGCCATGTGGGCCGGAAGTGCATGAGCAAGGATGGACCTTCAAGCTGCCAAACAGGGGCAGCGAGTGAGGGAGGGAGGGGTGCAGGATGGGGGCCACATGTCCATCCTGCAGATGGGGGCCCAGCAGAGCCTGGAGGGGAGCCGGCGGGAGGACAGGCAGTGGGGACAGCATCATCCCATGTTTGGGCTCTTGACATCTGCGTGGGCAGCTGGCCTGGGGGGACGCTGCTTGTGGCCTACAGGACGTGTTTTCCCACAGTCTCAGCACTGCGAATCTTTTTATTTTATTTATGTATTTATTAAAAAAATTTTTTTAATGTTTATTTTTGGGAGACAGACAGCACAAGTGGGGGAGGGGCAGAGAGAGAGGGAGACACAGAATCCGAAGCAGGCTCTAGGCTCTGAGCTGTCAGCACAGAGCCCGATGTGGGGCTCGAACCCATGGAACACGGGATCATGACCTGATCCAAATTCGTACGCTTAACTGACTGAGCCCCCCAGGCACCCCTGAGCGATGAGTCTCTTAAAAAGAAAGACAGGATTGTGGGAGGCGTTCAGAGGGGAGGCACTACAGACAGAATATTAAAGGGCCCAGAGGAAAAGCTCTGTGTTGTAGAGACTCCACTGATTACATCCAGCCTCCAGAGCTAGGCGCCTGTCCACAGGGGAGCCTCCTCGGGGGCAGAGGCGAGTGCACCCTGGGTCCGCATGTGGACACCCGCCTCTCCCGGGCCCCCTCCCCACTGTTCTGGGCAGTCCTCGTGTCCGGACCTGGCCCGCAGGGGTTGAGCTACTTTGCTACGGGGACACTCCGTAGGAATCAGTTGGCACCAGAGGGCAGGGTTTTCAGTGCCCCCTGCTGCTTCTGTCTGCAGGAAGGGGGACTGCTGGCGTGTGGGGCTCCCTTTTGGGCACAGCTCTGACTGTGACTTCGCCCGAAAGCCTCAGCTGGTGGTTTTATCTGCAGTTAGCCTTCAGGCGTTCAGACCCAGGCCGGCAACATGCTCTTTTTCTTTCAATTCTGAGCCCGTTTTCTCTTTACACACGCTTCCCAGAGGCCAGAGGACTCCACATTGAAATTCATTCAGGAGCCTGTTAACAGCTGTTGTTTCCAGTGGGGACGGGCAGCAATGTAATGTTCACTCAGAGAGAACAATAAATAACTCAAATATAAAATGCCTGCTCCTTCTTCATTCTACGGAACGAGAAGAATAAGCCAGGGAGGCACTGGCTCTCCCAGACCCTCACAGCCCAAGCTAATTTACTATGAGGGAATGAAATCTTTTGCTTGAGTTATAATTTCATTAAGGGCGCCCAATAATGTTACACAAAGAGTGTGAAGCTCAAATGATTTAGTCTGGAGCATCTCAAAATGAAATTACATTTTTCTAATAGAGCGGAGGCTACCAGCCAAACACCCACAAAAATACACTAAACCATTTCAGAGTTCACCTTAGCAAAATTGTGAAATATTTAAAGACTGTTTCAGATCCTCAGAGTTCTTGCTTTCTAGGGTTGCCAGATTTATCAAATAAAAACACAAGACCCCGAGTCAAAACTGAGTTTCAGATAAACAGCAGATACTTATTTAGCGTGTATAAATGTCCAGTATTGTGTGCCGCGTGCATATACCGAAACGTTATTCAGTTTATCTGAAATCCAGATTTAAGGCAGGGGACTTGAATAGACATTTCTCCAAAGAAGACATCCAGATGGTCAGCCGACACGTGGAAAGATGCTCCACATCAGTCGCCATCAGGGAAATACAAATCAAAACCACGAGACACCACCTCACACCCGTCAGAATCGCTCCCATCCCAAAGCCAGCTAGGAGGTGACAAGAGTCGGTGAGGATGTGGAGGACTCGGAGCCTTGACCACCGAGTGGGAGTGAGAAATGGTGCAGCCGCCATGAAACCGGCAAGCCCACGTGTGGGTCTGCACCCAAGAGAATAGAAAGCAGGGTCTCAGAGAGGTATTTGCGCCCCTGTGTTCCCAGCAGCACTATTCAAAACAGCTGAACGGTGGAAACAGCCACGTGTCCGCCTGACAGAGGAGTGGACAACAAAATGGAGTGAATGCACACAGCGGAACATTATTCATCCTTAAAAAGGGAGGCGACTCTGCAAGACGTGACCACGTGGATGAACCTTGAGGCCATTATGCTGAGTGAAATAAACCAGCCACAGAAAGACCAATACTGTGGGATCCACTTATTTGAGGTCCATAGAGGAGTCAAAGCCACAGAGACTGTACAATGGTGGGCGCCAGGGGCTGGGGCTGGCGGGGGTCAGTGTCTAGTGGGGACAGAGATTCAGTCTGAGAAAATTAGGAGGTTCCGGAGATGGTTGCATAACAATATATATGTATTTAATGCCACCAAACTATATGCTTAAAAACCGTTAATGTGTCAACTTTTATGTTATATATATTTTACCACAATTCGATCATTCAAATTTGACTGGATATCCAGTATTCTATGTAGTAACCCTACCTCTTTCACATCCTATCGACTCCTCTGCAGCAGTGGATTTTAGGTTCCCAGCCCAAACTCGCCCACCCGAACAAAACAGGGCACCTGCTGCTGGCCTGTCTGCCGGGGAATCCCACATCGTTGCTTCTGCGAGAATCAGTTGGCCCTGAGAGTGGGAAGGCTGCTGCTTTAGCGTGTCATTAGGACACACGGCGGGAATTCTAGTTTTTATTTAGAATAATCACACTGAAAACGATTCGGTGTCAACGCCTTTCTTTGTGGCTGTTTCCTTGACCCGCTGTGTCAGCGGAGCCTCCCGTTGGCGTGGTCCCGTCTGAGCTGCGCTCAGACTTCCGGCTCTGTCTGCTGTCTGTGTTCACCACAGTCGTGAGGTTGGGCTCATACGGGTTACTGATGAAAACGGAGACTGTGCTTTCATTTTACCCGATTCCGGACATTTTGTGTACACTGAGAGAGGCTGGCTCCAGAATTCCCCACGCTTCTGCCGCCCCCACCCCCCGTGTAAAGTCGGGAAGAAGGAGAAGGTGTTTCCTGTAGGGAGAGTATCTGGAAGGGGTGGCTGGGCCCTGCACCCAGAGTATCTGGTGTGGCCCAGCCGGAAATTGAGCCGAAAGAGCAGCCCTACACTGGCCGTGATGCTGGATGGCACCCGGGGCTGCCCTCCAGCCAAGACTCCCTCTCCGGGAAGGCCCGGTCGCCATTTGTCATATCACAGCACGCCGTTTCTAATGCATTTCTCAAAATGATCCAGGACATTTGCGTTACAAAGCTTATTACTCATTGCAAAATAAAGGCCTATGGCCCTTGGAAGTGATGTGATTTCATGTATTTTCGGAGCACGTGGGAAGCATTTTCAGAGGGCAGAAACTCTTGGCTGGAACCAAACGAGATCACATTCGCTGAGAATATTGATAACAAAGAACAAATACAATTTGGTAGTGATGTAAAGATAGATAAATAGTCCAGGGGGACAACACAGAGCATTCAGGAATAGAATCGTACCTATAAGATCAATTGATTTTCAACAAAGAATTCAAAGTAATACAATGGAGTGAAAGAAAGTCTTACCAACAAACAGCTGAAAAAACTGTACACCAGGTTGGGAAAAATGAATTCTGAGCTGTGCCTCATACCATACATGGAGATTGTCACAAAATGGGCCATAAACCTAAATGTGAAAGCTATAACTCTAAAACTTGTGGAAGAAAATACAGATCACTGTCATGGTCCTCATGTGTGCGGATTTCTTAGGACACAGAAAAGCACTAATCATAGAAGAAAAAAACAAATTAGTTTTCATCAAAATTAAAAATTTCAGCACTGAAATACACTGTTAAGAAAACAAAAAGCAGGTCGTACGTTAGGGTAACAGACATATAATCAAGACAACTGATTTGTATCCAGAGTATAAGAACCCTTTTGACTGGATAATAAAGGGAAAAAAGTCCAAAGTTTAAGAAATGGGCAAAACACTTGAACAGAAACTTGACAGAGGAGAATATCAGAAGCCAGTAAGCCCACGCAAAAGTGCTTAACATCACTGCACACAGGGGGAAATGCAAATTAAAACCATAAAGGTGTAGTGTGTCAGGGCACAGCAGTGGAACAGCTGAGACTTAGGACCGTAGCTCAGTCTAGGCAAAGACACAGGGGGGCCAGGACGCACCACTCTGTCCCTGGGACACTTTGGAAGACGTTTTGGCCGTTACATATACACCTGTTATGCTTCTAAATATTTACCTGAGATAAATGAAACACATGTGTTAAAAAAAAAAAAAAAGATTTGTGCAAGAATGTTTAGAGACATTTCATTCATTACAGCTCAAAATTAGAAACATCCCGCATGCACATCAGCAGAAGAATGGATAAGTGAATTGTGTTACATTTACATGAGGGGTAACTATCAGCAACAACAACGCCTGAGGGACTATGGATGAAACTCTAAAACATTATAGTAAGAAAATAAAAATCTGGGCACAGAAGAGCAGGTGGGAAGTACTTTCATTTCTATGCAGTTCTCAAACAGGCAGACCACTC